GGGGCAGCACCTGTGGACGGGGCAGCACACAGAGCCGCCTGGCTGCGCCTCCGTGTAGGAGCTGCAGTGGGGACATGCCGTTGCTTCTGGGAGCTGCTTGAGGTAAGCACCGCCTGGAGCCTGTACCCCAACCCCCGTCCCAGCCCTGATCCCCCTCCCACCCTCCTGCACCCCAGAGCCTGCACTGCCAGCTGGAGCCCTCACCCGCAACCCACACCCCAACCCCCAGCCTGGACCCCCCTCCCCCACCCTGAATTCCTCATTTCTGGCTGCACCCCAGAGCCCTCACCCCCTTCCACACCCCAACCCCCAATTTTGTGAGCATTCATGGCCCGCCATACAATTTCCATACCCAGATGTGGCCCTCAGGCCAAAAAGTTTACCAGCCTCCCCCCCCCCCCCACCCCCCTAATCTCATTGCTCCAGTTCCTGCACCATTATATCACCCCATTGAGAGGAAATAGAAGGCTGCTAAAAAAGGAAATCTGTGCAGAAATGAGATCCTTTCTGATCAATTTTGCATTTCCCTGTTTTGAGTACAAATTTTAACAAAGCAACACAAAGAAATCAATTACTTTACCTGCAACACCAGAGAAATATCTGTAAATATCCAGCAGAAAGTTTCCATGTACTTTAGATTTCTTTCTATGTAAATGTATTTGATATATTTAAATTAAACATAGAACAGAAAACCACCTATCCCATAGGCACCCTGAAAAATTATTAAGAACACAATCCAGAATATTTAAAAAAAAAAAAAAAGGCAAAACAGCAGCTGATCTCTGGCTTGCATCCGCAAAGTCAGCATGACTCTGTGTAACCACAAGTAGTTCACTTGGACCAAGGCCAGAGTCCTGTGTAGGTGCTGCTTATAGATGTATTGTTTTCATCAACATGTATTTATATTCATAATCGTATTATTGATTATAGACAAAAGGGTGCTTGTTCATAAATGAATGAGATTGTGCAATAAATGCCATATCACATACATAACCTTTTACTTGTGTGCATTAATCAGTATATGATTGATATACTTCTGGTAAACAGCATTGGCCTGGGTATATTTTTGGGTATTGAAATTTCAGTGTTATGATCACAAAATACTAGATAGATACTAGAGGCAGCAAATTCCTAACAGACCATCTCCTACCCACCCTTCTGTAAAAAGAATGTCCCTACTGAATATCTGAGTTTCTTATGTAGCCATGGAATTCCAGGAATTCCATCTTATTGTGTGACAAAAGGAACTCAATATTTTCAACATTATGCTTTAAGTAATTTTGCACTATTACTTAGTTTCTCTTCTCTCACGCCATTAGTCAGTATGCTTTCATTAATGCCTTTTGATTTCTGAGGTCATTACCATGAGCTATTGTGGGGCTTTTATGTTGCCACAATTCCAGACTTTGTATTTTTCCAGACTCCTGAATTATTTCTGCATCGCACTAGGATGAAACTCCAAATTATGTGTTTTCCCTCGAACTTCTGGAATGTTTTGTCCTCAATATTTATTCTGATTTTTAAGCCGTGGGAGCAAAGCATTCTATTCATCCACTGACCTCTTCCCCAGCATCAAACATATTTCCAATAGTCAGTGCTATTGCCTAACCTCTAGGAGCTATCCACAACATTTAGGAGTCACTTTTGGATGCACCAGGCTTAATTCTTCACTGCCTGCCATCTTGTGTTGCTAGTTGCACCTGTGCAAAGTGGGTATACATTGGTATCAAATCCTGTTTTAAAACTATTTTGCAAGACAGTGGAGTATATGGTCCATTGAGTAGTGCTTTGAATGCAGAGGAGACAAAAGCCAGACCAGGGAGATGGAAAGGAGTAGATTGGGACAAGGAATCTAGTGAGACTGGGACTGGAGTGCTGGAGAAAGAAACTGGGAGTGGGACCGGGACCAGCTGGCAGGGAGACTGAGGCTGGGAACCAGGAAAGGAGATTTGTATCTGGTAAGGAAAACTGGGAGGAGGGGGACCTGGGAGTCAGTTGGCTGGATGGGGGGAAATGCTGAGATTGGAGGAGAAGTTGGGGGAATGAGGGAGATTGGGACTGGATGAACAAAGAGACTGAGACTGGGAACTAGTGTGAGGAAGAACGAGACCAGGGGATAGCTCTGACCAGGGCTGAGATGCAGGGGAAGAACAGGGACTGGTTAGGCAAACAGACTGGGACCCGGAGCCAGGGAGGGGAGCTGGGTCAGGGAGCTTGAAGGATACTGAGATTGGACAAAGAGGATAGGACTGGGAATCAGTGAGGCAGGGGGGAAACTGGATGAGGAGCCAGGAGTGGAGAACTAGGACTGGTTCTGTGGAGGCAACAGAAGTGATTGGGACTTGGACAGTGAGCCTAGAGGAGAAGATTAGGACTGGCTGGGCAAAGGGACTGGGATGAGAAGCCTGAGGAGTGGAGACTGGGACTGGAACCAGAACAAAGAGACATGGGTGGATAAGAAACAGGACCAGGGCAGGGACAGGTTGGAGGGGACGAGGCAGAAGGGGGTCAAGTTTGGAAGGAACAGACAGAAGAGACTGTGGCCACTAGAATGCACTCCCTTCCAGAACCGGAACTGGAACCCAAGATTCCTGAGTCTCACCATTCTTCTGTCAGCAAATGTCTGTGAAACACACTGGGAAAGTGTCCCATGCCTCTCTGGCTCACATAGAGGATGATGATCTATTATTGCTATTAGTTACTCACTAAGCTCAAGCAGCACAGGTCTGTGTTGTGGATCTAAATGTTCCAACTACACTGATGAACAATGTGGTGTCGATATGATGGAATTTCTGTTTTCTCCCATTTGTTTTTTCAAAAACCTAGGAAATTATACACACACACAAACACGAACAAACCCTATGTTAAAAGAACATCATTGTGGTCGCAAAGTTAAGCACATGAAAAATGATCCAGAATTTCAACTAAGGTTATCTAATCCAACACATATAATGTATGGAAGGAAAAAGGATATACAAGTAACAGCCAGTTATTCTGTAATGATAAAATTATGGAAATTAATACCATCAAAGAACTAATGAGGATTATTAACATACCCATGCTGGTTTATTTGCTAGTAAAGCATTATATCAAATCCCATGTAGGAAGCCCAAGTTGCAGGTGACCATTAATGAGGCTAGAAATATTAATTATGGTAAAGGCCACCTCAAAGGGCCTGATCTTTTTTTCATGATATAACAATTTACTGATGGTTCTAAAAGATAAGATCATCTTTATGGGAAAATAGGAAAATAATCTAAAAACAGATGTCACTTTGGGGCAATGGGAAAATATATAGAGGAAGGCCAAAATCTCATCTATTTGGGTAGCCATTAAGGAAGGTTACTGCAAAATATGTTATCAGTTGTACCTCATACCATTTAAGTGAAGTATAATATATATAAAGGATGGAGAGAAATAAGGACCTTTCTGTATATATGCTGTGAATGCCCTAAGATAATAGTATTTTTGGACAAAATAACAAAAGGAATTTTCAAGATAACTGAAGTGAGGCCACCCACAAAACCCATAATGAGTCTATTAGGTTACATTTTAAAAGAGGTTACTAACTTGGTGTAGGGCTCGTTGATAACACAATTACTGCTTGCGGTCAGCTGTGTGATAGCTCATTTTTGGAAAAAGATAGATACCCCATCATTAGAGGCAAAGAGAAATAAATTATGGGAAATCCTTTCAATGAAAAAAATGATGGACAGCCTTATGTCAGGCTCAAGTAAATTTTATATTATGTATGGTTACCATTTTTGGAATCTGAACAAAATAAATACATCAATAATAAGAAGTTGACTAAACACAGGACTTTTAAAGGTAGCAAATACAGGTTATGAATAGGAGTTGTTAATACTTGTATGGAAAGTTTATTTATGTTAATAATGACAAAATAAAACTTTTTTTAAATAGATGAGAAAATTCATGTGATTTGCCTGTTATGGGGGTATCACAAAGCAAAATCTTCTGTCTCCGGTTAAAAATCATCTTGTAGTTGTTACTGGCAAATCTAGGTATGGACTTCAGATATGTAAATTGTGTGTAATCTACATACAAATCCATCATAGACTGTAAGCTTTGGGGGAACAGTGTCTTTCACTATTTTTTGAAGCACCAAGAACTCTGTCAACACATTACATAATAATAAGTGATAAGCATATTCAAACAATTATAAATGTCAATTGATTGTAATGTGGAGAAGGCAGCAGTGGGTATCTTAGTGGTCACTGCTTTTTCAGTTTGCTTAACAGTTACGCAGAGTAGAACTGTGCATGTAGTGTGGTCAAATTTTCCAGTGACAGATCATCTGCAGGAAGATTTTTAACATGCTTAATCCTATAGTTTGGCTTTTTTAATACAAACAGTTTCAAACATGTCACTAATCTATTTTGAATGTTCACAGACACCATTGCTGCTTTACACCTATGGTAAAATATATTTTTTCTTAAAACAGAGGCACTAGCTATTTGGGTTCTTAAAGATGCCTTGGTACATTCTGCAAAAGTGAAGGCATGTTCTGGTGGCCTGATTTAATTCTGATTTCTGAAAGTACATTATTTCCATCAGATATTCCTCCCGTAGTTTCAATTGGATAATTTATTCTTCACTTTCTCTCATATAAACATATATAGGTTGCGTATGTGTTGTAATTAGAAACTATGCACAGTAAGAGAACTACCATGGGTCCTGGTTTTCTGGAATAAAGGTAATTATTTCTAGGCTTACCACTATGTAAATCAAACATAACTCAGTATAACATGGAGCACTACATTTCTCCAGTTTCCTGAAATCTACTAGAATTTTTCAGATAACTTGATTATTTTGTTTAGGTATCTGAAACATACACACTACAGAGCCAAGTTTCGATGATTCTCTATATATGCAATAGCAAACACTGCATGGAAAACCTCTATGAAAAATAAATTTTATTAAGAGCATTATTTGTTCCTGTTTGTCTGCTCACCTAAATATGATAGTGTTTGTCACTTCAGCCCAACAGGGGCCTGCAACTGCACATTAGGGAGTTCAACAGGAGTCATTACCATGGAAGGGCCTTTAAGAAGGAAGACATTACTAAAGGAAGGCAGAAAACCTACAGTAAGTTGGACCTTTACTGTGATCCTAATTTGATAATGGCTGTTATTGTTTACATTGTTAGCTTCAGACTGAAGTGCAAAGCCGAACAGGGCAGGGCAGTTAATTCTGTTCCAGGAAACAGAACAATGTTTTGCTTCAGAATCACTTTCTATTAAAACATAAGACACAAAATGTTTCCTTTTCTCCCAGCATCTGCTCTGCATCAGTTCTTTCCCTGTGTGTTTGTAAGGGACACCACAGAGGTGGGATCAGAAGAGGAACTCTATGTAGCATCAGCTTCTGTAAAGGCCTGTCAGCATCTATTTCTGTGGGATCCCTCTCCTCACATTCAGATCCCCCTCACATCAGTGGGAGGGCTTTGTGTTCTGTTGCAAGCAGGACACAAAGTCTGAATGGCTCTTCAGGAGACGCAGGTAGTATTGCAGAGAACCAGCTCTCTGCACAAGCATCATGCCATAGATTCACAGGATTCCCCCAGCCTCCGTCTCAGGCCCTCTTTGGGAAGGGAGAAAATGATGCAATGGAAATCCCATGGTTTACCTTTGATCCTCTTACAACTTTTTATTTGGAGCTTCATGGTTTAGTCTTAAGAGATTTGAAGAACTGTGGAAATAACCTTGTAATTAGAGCTGTGCAAAATTATGTGGCTGAAACGTAATTTAAACAAAAAATGTAGATTCAGATCAACCAAAATAATTTGTGAATTTGCATCAATTTCAGCACATTTTTTCAATAGATGAAAAAAATTGAAAATGTCCAAATGATTTATTTCAACACTCCCAGAACAAGATGTTTTGATTTTTTTGGCTAGATTCATGAAAGGGTGGTGGGGAAGAAAGAGGACGGGTTGGTGGTGCATCCCTTATACCAGTTGCCCAGTAATTAGGGAATTCACCTTGGATATGGGAGACCAGGGTTCAAGTCCCTGCTCCAGAGCAGGACCAATCTATTGGCTATTCTGGGGTGGGCTCTGATATCAATCTCTTTTGTTGAAGGTGTTCCACTTTGTATAAATACAGTGAGTGAGAGTGACTCTATAGCCTAGTGATTAGGGCACTCGTCAGGGAATGGGGGGGTGTCACCCTGGTTCTAGTCCTTGCGCCAATTACTTTTTAATTATTTGTACAAAGTGGAACAGTTTCAACAGGAGAGAATGAGTAAGACCACAACTTCCTCCTCAATTTTGTGAACGGTGCCCAGGTTTCCTTGTGAATCTAGGTCTTCATTTCCTTTGTTTTTACTTAAAAAACAGATAAAAATCCCTAAAATCAAACCAAAACATTTCTTTCGACCTGAAACAAATTTTTTTCTGACTTTTTGATTAGCCAAAAATTCTGAAAAATTACTTATAATCAATTATGTTGACCAAATGTCAGAGGCAGGTATAAGATATGCCCAGCAGAGGGCAGTACTATGCTCTGCACTGAAATGAACCGCCCTGAGATTTCTAGAGGAGACATTAGGATAATGTGGATTTTCTTTGCTGTATCTTGCATTCTCATAGACAGCAACCAGAGCCTAGGGAGCTATACTGATTTACACCAGCTGAGAATTTGGCCCCAGCTCCCTCCTCCTATTAGCTTCCTTACTTTAAACAGATAATTCTAATACTTAGTTGTTAATTCGTTTTCAGAGTATCGGAAATTAATAAGCCATATTTGTACCTATTTTCTTTTTTCTTATTCAGCTCTCCTCATGGACTAGATATTGGGTTACACTTTCAGGGTCAACTCTTCTCTACTTCGGAGCAAAATCATTAAGAGGCACAGAAAGAAAACACGTAAGCAAAGTATATTAATTTGTTCTAGAAAGCAAACCATTCTTTAGATGTATCATCCTCATGAGCAGGACTGGCAATGTGCATTCAAAAAGTGAATATGGTCACTCCTAGCTAGCACATTTGTCTGCTCTGTATTCATGGTTAGAAGTCAACCCAGTGCATTATCATGCTACTGCTAATTGTAACTGATCTGTCTGTCTCTTCTAGTATAAATCTACTGCTGGTAAAAAAGTCTCTATTGTGGGCTGGATGGTGGCACTGCCTGATGATCCTGAACATCCTGATATTTTTCAGCTAAATAACCCTGATAAAGGTAGATGCTACATTATACCTAGGGAATGGGGTAATAGCATTTAATATGTTAAGTTTACATTATTTGCAATATCACATGCTCAGAAAGTTAAGGAACCAGATTTTCAAAATAGGGTACAGTGAGAGATTCATGCATCTGCAAAAAGCCCATGTTTGTGGGGTCCTGCAAGAGGCCTAAGTGCATCTTGCCAAATGATTGGGGGAGTGCATTTTGTGAGTTTTCCAGGAACTCTTGGGATTAGTGTGAGGTCACTTGCATTCCCTGTTCTCTATAGATATGTCTACCCTGCAGTTAAGCACCTGCAGCTGGCCCAGGTCAGCTGATTCAGGCTTGCAGGACTCGGGCTATGGGCATGGGCAGCGGGTTATAATAGGCCAGGGGAGGCTCAACCTCCCCTGGTGCTGCCGTGGCCACCAGAACCCCATTTTCAGGGTTTTGGGGAGAAGTTTTTGATTTATTATGCCCCTGCAGATTCCAGGGCAGCTGAGGAAGCAGCATGTGCTACCGCCTCCTCAGCTGCCCAGGAACCTGCGTGGGGCATAGCAAAAGCTTCTTCCAGAGAAGACAGACACATGCTTTTCTCCTGGTGGCTTGGGGTCTGGGGAGGGGAGATGCAGCGTGGCTGCAGCTGAGCTCGAGGCTTTGGCCCACTCAGGGCTCCTCCAGCCCAGGGAGGGTCTTGGAGCTCCAGCCACCAGTGTGGGGGGAGGGTCTCGGGGCTTCGGCTGGCTCGGAGCTCCTCCAGCTGAGGGGAGGTCTGGGGACTCCTCTGGGTGGGGGTGTCTTAGGGCTCCTCCCACTGCAGGGGGGGTGGTCTTGGGGCTCCTCTGGCTGAAGGGGGGTGGTCTTGGGGCCATGAGGGGGGGAAGGGGCAGGGCTGGAGCTAGCCTCCCCAAAGGGGGGGCTCCACCCGCCACGCATGGCTATGTGGCTGTTGAATTGCAGTGTAGACATTGGGGCTCAGCCTTGGAGGGTCCCAGAGCCCAGGTTCCAGCCCAAGTCTGAACATCTACACCGCAAGTTTTAGCCCTGCAGCCAGACTGACCTGGGCCAGCCCGGGACGTGCTACATATCTTTTAGTCCAGTGTAGATGTACCCTATGGTGGTTGGTTCTTTTTTCCAAATGGCTTTCTCAAGGTCACTATGTCCTTTAAATAGCCCTGTAATCCCTAGATAGTCAGCTTCACTATAAGTGCTGATTTATGAGGCTTCTCCAAACATCAAAGTATTTATAAAACCATTTACTTAGATTTTTAACCATCATCACTCAGCAGACACTTCAAATGTTCAAAAAGGTCCTAGCATCAATGTGCATCATGAGGGTCTCTACAGAAAACCTTGAAGTTCCCCTAACATTTCACATCTTTCCTTATTTCAATGAGAAGCAGTGATGAACATGAGCTGCACATGCTGCATCTCTCTCCTGTAGAATACAATGAATACAATGTAAGTCTGACTTCAAGAGAAAATTCAGGGAAGGCAATGCTGAGCTGAGGAATGAAAGAGACCAACAAGGGGATGCTGGAAAAGCTAAATTTGCAAACAATAGTGCATCCATGAAAACGATTCAGGGGTGAGGTATATAAATGCTAGTGGGAATGAAGCAAAGTATAAAACGAAGGAGGTTGGAGTGGATGCCCAGATTGGTCTTACTGTCTTTGGTTCTGTGACAGCTTAATTTTACTCCCATGTGCTACCCTCAGGTCTATTGAATATGCACACTATCTTCCACCCCCTACCTGGGGGGTGCTGGGCACATATTCCCTATAGCCTATCCTCCCTGCCAGAGCCTGCTGTGTGTGGTAGGAGCAGTTTGGGTATTTGAGGACCAAATTAATTTTCCTATTTACTTTATGCTCTTGGCTTCTACACTAAACGATGATAATGTAGCAAAGCCAAGTGTCTGTCAAAACCTCAGGGATCCTGATTTTTTTTAATTTTGTAGGCAATATTTACAAGTTTCAGACTGGGTCAAGGTTTCACGCAATACTGTGGCACAAGCATTTGGATGATGCATGCAAAAGCAACAGGCCTCAGGTAAGGCCATGAAAATGTCTTTTCCAACCAGTTTCTCCCTTACATTCCAGGAAACCCCTACATAGAGGATGCCACTTTCTAGCCTCTATGGGCACCTCGATTATACACAGACAAGCTCATCAGGGTATATTTATACAACCCATTTTTCATATTGACCAAAGTTTTGTAACAGGTGTGGAAGGCAAGATTTCAAATTCTAGGATATCCACAAAAAAATCTGGTAATGGTGAATTTGTGCGGCTCTAGCCATAAGTCTCAGTGCCCCTTACTGTGTCATGTTTTTCTCTCCCAAGTTATGATACAATGTCCTGTTACTAGCTTGCAGAGTCAGCCTCACACAGAGTCCGTTTAAGGGACTGATTGCATTGTTGGCACTTGGCAATAAATGGCAATAGTAATACAAAGATTGACACTTCAGTTTCCCCTTGCCACAGGAACTTTACATTGCTGACTAATTTACATTCTCTTCCAGGTACCTGCTAACCTAATGTCATTCGAATAACTTGCATCAGTATGTGGTGTGACTTCAAGTGCCAAACTGCAGGATGGGAATATCTTTCCCTGAGGAGAAGGGGAGAAGGAGCTCCCTAATGTGAGCCAGCTGCCCCAGACAAGATTACTTCAGCACTTTTCTATGTAACTTGAAAGTGATTTTGACACAGCTTTTAAAAGCAGAAAGTGAATGTTGTCCTTAGGACCAGATATAGTCTCATGCACTGAACATAAGTAGACAATTTAGACAGACTGAAGATGAGTCCTGACTGATGCAGGATCCTGGAAACCTTGACTTTAACTTTGTGGTCACAAACTGCCCTGGACTAATGTTTGACCACAAACTGTGCATCACATCTTCTGCCTATTCTTTTTTAAACTGTTCTTTTTATTGTTAAGCTGCTTTATGTGACTGAAGAACATTTAGCCCATGTTGGGTTTTCAGTTCTTTCTAATGCACAAAATGATTGACAGTGTTAACTTGCTGCAAAGTGTCAATTAGAATAGAAAATTGTGGAACAACATTTTTATAACCTAAGTGCACTGAGTTGCTTGGTAATGTGGTTGCCTCAGATTTTGTATCAAATCTCTGGACAGTTCTGCAGTTCGCATTTGAGCTATTTGGGAAATGTGTATTTTGGCACAAGATAAATAGTTTAATTTAGTATTTCTTTCATTTGAATGTGCTGCTTTTAAATATAATATAAAGGGACACCCAGATGAGTGAAGGGTCCATTGCTATTTAAATTCACTTTGTGTTACAGCTTTTCTTGGATTTTCTTACTCCTAAGGATAAATTGGCCTTATTTTTTTCCCCTTTACTATGGGTGCTATTCATCTAAAATCCCTAGCTCCATAGATGCAGGTATTTGGATCTTCCCAGCCACCTAGTGCTGACTCCTCAGAATGGCTGAACTTTCCACTCACTGTTCCACTCTCATGTGGGTGACCCAATCCCATTCAGCACCTGCATGTGCACACACATCACCTGGTAGGCAGAATAATGCCACTAGGACTGCTGTCATGAAGGCCTCTGATCCTCTGAAATCATGATGGAGGTGAGATCTAGGCAGGACTGATTGGCATGTAAGAGACCCTTCTATGCCAGGAGAAACTACCTGGTTCTCTTTTCCCAAGTGTGCCTTAGCACTTCCTGCTGGTCTGAGCTTTCTGCTATTCTCACCTTGATTTCAGTATTCTTCACATTTTAGTCACATCCCTTTGCTGGTCAGTGTTCAGGTTTCATCCATCAAGGATGAATCATTGCATAAAGCTCCCACCTCACTTTCAGCTAGGCTTTCTAATGCCATGACCAATGCCCCTAAAACCCTCACTCTGCAGCTCCCCAAGAATGGAGCAAAATGGTGAGCTAGGTGGGAGAGTCCTGTGATTCGACCACATGCTTGCAGACCATGAAAGACCAGAAATAATTTTGGATGACTAGAGCCCTACATCAAAACAAGTGCCCAGTCACTGGGCTGTTCTGCTGATCTCACATAATCTTGATTTTACAGCAGATTTTTTTAAATTTATCTTACAAAAATACCTTATTTGTAATGCTGAATTTCTGTTGACTATATAAAAATGTTTTTTAACTGTCTGTGTCACAATCCTGAGAATGAAACTTGGTAAGTGACAAGAAAAATAGTTCCTACTGATTCCTGTAGGGAGAGACAGGGCAAGTATCAGAATTCACACAGATTTGACATCAGACTTCTTTGATGGTTCAAGAGATCTTCAGTGGGATAGAGGAGTGGCCAAAAAATATCTTTTTGCTTTTTTACCAAGCCAAAAATTAGTTGTAGTAGTGAGCTGATAACAGCATCTGTAGTCCAAGAATGGAATTTTCAATAGTTAGATCTGACACAGAGGATTTTTAAAGATGATGATGCTGGTGAAATTCTATCATCAGCATGTCACTGTTGCCCAACTATTTGAAAATGAAATCATCTGAATTATTCTCCTAGACAGAGAGATGCATGGATGGTTGTGGTGAGAGGTGAGTTATAAATTTAAACTATTTCTGAGGGTGCAGGTATTCTCTGGACTACCATTCAAATGAATTCATAGGTGCATGTATGTGTAGTGTGTGTGTCTGTACGCATATCTAATCTTTTGCAGCAGCCAGAGGGTTGAACCATCTGAAACGGCATTATTGTAATATTATATGTCTGACCTAAACCCTCAAATGCTAAGAGTAAAGGCTGAAGATCTAAGTTGCCACCCCCGTATGCAGAATTTATATAAAATAGAGCTGCTGTTAATCAGGAGCCCTGGAGCGCTGCCTGTATCTAAAATGTCCTTGGATTTCTGTGTTTAAGCCAGAGCTAGCATGTAATGCCACTTACAATGCTGTTGCTTTTTTTCAATTATATTTAAAGACAACACTTCCTCGACATACATAACATGTATTCAAGCATCCTGAATTCCCACTTTGCCTAATGGATCATAAAGAGTTTTGTAGCTTCCAGGGCTACTGCTAAGAATGTAAAGTGGCCCACCTAGTACAATAAATTTGGAAGGTGATAGATCAAGAAACCAAACTGTTTTCTTAAATAAGTATGCATTTTGCCATCGTAGGCATTGGCAGGCAAAGATTTATAAAGGGACTTGTGACATAATTTAAAAAATGAGGAGGGACTAATAAATGCATTGCCAACAATTAACAGTGTACTTGTATTTTCCAGATTGCCAGCCAAATGAGTGTTTAGGAGGATGAGGACAGTATAGGTACTGGTAAATTGTGGCCTCAAGCATCGAAGTTTAAAATGCACATTTGCCAGAGCAGAATTTTTAACACAGCTAATTTTAATGGTTCTGCAAGAACTCTGAAACGTACTTACATAGTGCTTTTATTCACCAATCATGTCCAGGTGAAACCATAACAACTACATCTATCTTGTTCTGATCTATTGGGATGTGGGTGATTCCCCTGTGCAGGGATCCTGTTCCACAAATCCTACTGAAATCCTTGCAGCAAAATGTTCTGCAAATGCTTAGTTATCCCATTAATAAGAGAACAATTTGGTCATTGTTAAATATAAAATTTAATTTAAAATTGTAACAGTCACTGACCTGACATCCATATTAGGAGGCTAAGGAAATGTCTAAAGCTGTTTTTAGATGTAATGGGGGAGGGGAGAAACAGCTAATTCTCATTTCATTTTTTTCCACCGTGCTTATAATTCAAATTAAGTAATGGATGTTGTGGCTGCTGAGACTGTGGACCAAGTTTCACCTTGAAGTGACACTCACAGTTAACTGATAGGCTAGTAATGGCAAAAGCTGGAACCTGTTTAGATCTTGAGGGCTTGTAGAATTCAAAGCCTTGTGGAACATTTTAGGTGTTATTCTATTCAGGGCAGGGAGTTTTTTCATCCTTAGAAAACAATCTTTCTCAAGAAAAGCCCTTTAGAAGCTGGCCATGAAGGGGGGATTTGAAAGTAGCCTTCAACTACCTGAAGGGGTGTTCCAAAGAGGATGGAGCTAGGCTGTTCTCAGTAGTGGCAGATGACAAAAAAAGGAGTAATGATCTCAAGTTGTGGTGGGGGAGGTCTAGGTTGAATATCAGGGAAAACTATTTCACTAGGAGGGTGGTGAAGCACTGAAATGGATTACCTACGGAGGTGGTGGAATCTCCATCCTTAGAGGTTTTTAAGGCCCAGCTTGAGAAAGCCCTGGCTGGGATGATTTAGCTGGGGTTGGTCCTGCTTTGAGCAGGGGGTTGGACTATGACCTCCTAAGGTTTCTTCCAACACTAATCTTCTATGATTCTATGGCAGAGAAGTTCCAAACATCTCCAGGTCCCTTCACCTGTATAGCAAACCCCTACAAAGATAGGAGTTCAAACGTGAAACCAGGATATGCTCTGAACTATTTGTGGCATGAATGAGAGAACACACACAAAAGTGACTCTGATATCCAGGAGTCTCTCATAGTGCCAGGGATGGAATTTTTGTGTGTCTGTGGAGAGAACAAAACCCTCAAAATAATGCTACTCGAGACCTTCAGTAATTTGCATTTTTAAAGTTTTTAAAGAATTGGTAAAATGAATGCTTGAGCTGATCACCAGTTGCAGAGTAGATAGTATTACGTAAAACAGAGCTGAACATGGCAATTGTGTAGTTTTGCCTTGTGCAATATGTCTTGAAATTCTTGTAGTATATCACAATAATTGTGGTATTGCTTTGTAGCTTTTGAGAAGATAAAATGAATGAGAATGATAGAACAGTAGAGGGATGGTATTAGCTTAATCCATTTTTAAATACATTTATTGTTAAATACAAAAAGTATGAATTCTAATAATTACTGATTTTTTGGGGACTCAGTATCTGACACCTTTAATGTGAATTAAAAGCTCCTGTTGAAATAATAGACATTGATTAAAATATCACCTCTATGAAAGGATATCATAAACCTTGTAAGTGTTATCAGTCGCACAGTAAAACTTCAGCTGTTTTGTAAAAACAGGCCTTTTTAGTCTGTTTTTCAGGATGACTAATTTCAGACTTGTGAAGATATTAGATATATTTCAGGCAATATTTATTATTAATTTATTAGTGTGTGTAATTTTAAAGTAATTCAGTGCCAAAATGCATGTTTGTCCCATTAGCACTCAATTAAGGCATCAACAGAAGTTTTCAATATACAATCCATTTGTCACATTACAATATAAACCAATTTCTATATTTCTTTGTTTCTTGTGAACACTGTTGCACTATTTTTGGCCATATTTTTCAGCAGCCCACTGCATGCCATTTGTGTACAGACTTTCTATAACTTTTGTGAATTGTCTCACCCATAATAACCACTGAACTTTTAACCCTTGTGTGGGAGTCTTTAGGTTTTTGGCAAAGTATTTTGTTACCTCAGTCTTGTATCAAGTTGCTGTATTTCAGCTTGTTACATTTTGTTTCACTAATTAAATACCTTAATGTAAAAAAATTGTTTAACAAACAAATGCATTTGGTTGTGAATCTGTCAGATTGTTAACAATACCATGTATTGTCAAGAGTAGATTTGAAGTATACAATGAACTAGAACTTCTCACGTCAAGCACATCAAACTGTGCTTTGTCTGTGATTAAACAATAACATAGTTGGACACTACACTTTATAGTTGCATAAACTACAGTCATTTATAAAGCAGATGTGACAGGATCAAAATGTGTGGCAAAGAACAAGGAAAATCCTTCCAAACTTCCAATCTATGTGAGGTTGTTCTCTCTTTTTTTGTACAATCAGGGCTTTATATAAACAGATCAAATTCTGTAGTCCCTTGTTAAGATCTGTCTGAGCGCAGAAGTCGAGACAAGTCCATGAGTTTGGCAGGGTAGCAAGCCTTGTGGATGGGGGGAAAGTGGTAGACGTGGTATATCTTGACTTCAGTAAGGCTTTTGATGCTGTCATGCATGACCTAGGGAACAACAAACAACAGTGGTATACAGCTTGATAGTATTCATCACCATATATTTTTGACAGGTTTCCACACCCCATTTAGGGCTTATAAGAACATAAGAATGGCCATACTGGCTCAGACCAAAGGTCCATCTAGCCCAGTATCCTGTCTACCGACAGTGGCCAATGCCAGGTGCCCCAGAGGGAATGAACAGAACAGGGAATCATCAAGTGATCCATCCTCTGTTGCTCATTCCCAGCTTCTGGCAAACAGAGGCTAGGAACACCATTTCTTACCCATCCTGGCTAATAGCCATTAATGGACTTAACCTCCATGAATTTATCCAGTTCTCTTTTAAACCCTGTTATAGTCCTAGCCTTCACAACCTCCTCAGGCAAGGAGTTCCACAGGTTGACTGTGCGCTGAGTGAAGAAGAACTTCCTTTTATTTGTTTTAAACCTGCTACCCATTATTTTCATTTAGTTCTTATATTATGGGTACAAGTAAATAACTTTTCCTTATTCACTTTCTCCACACCACTCATGATTTTATATACCTCTATCATATCCCCCCTTAGTCTCCTCTTTTCCAAGTTGAAAAGTCCTAGCCTCTTTAATCTCTCCTCATATGGGACCCGTTCCAAACCCCTAATCATTTTAGTTGCTCTTTTTTGAACCTTTTCTAATGCCAGTATATCTTTTTTGAGTTGAGGAAACCACATCTGTTCGCAGTATTCAAGATGTGGGCGTACCATGGATTTATATAAGGGCAGTAAGATATTCTCCATCTTATTCTCTATCCCTTTTTTAATGATTCCTAACATCCTGTTTGCTTTTTTGACTGCCGCTGCACACTGCGTGGACATCTTCAGAGAACTATCCACGATGACTCCAAGATCTTTCTCCTGATTAGTTGTAGCTAAATTAGCCCCCATCATATTGTATGTATAGTTGGGTTTTTTTTTTCCAATGTGCATTACTTTACATTTATCCACATTAAATTTCACTGGCCATTTTGTTGCCCAATCACTTAGTTTTGTGAGATCTTTTTGAAGTTCTTCACAGTCTTCTTTGGTCTTAACTATCTTGAGCAGTTTAGTATCATCTGCAAACTTTGTCACCTCACTGTTTACCCCTATCTTCAGATCATTTATGAATAAATTGAACAGGATTGGTCCTAGGACTGACCTTCCTATGTCCTGCCCACCTTCCCCGTTTCCGTTGGTGTTGAGGTTTGGCGCTGTTGGCCATTTAAAAAAAAATTGATTTTTTTTATGTTTGAATAGGGGGAACGTTGCATGCTTGTGCTTTGCTGCATTTGGTTGTTTTTTTATGAGAAAAAGGTTGAAAGAATAGAGTCAGAGCTTAAAGATTAAAAAAAGAAAGCTTTGGTAAGGTTTACAGGAAAAAAGGAAAGAAAGGTTGTTTGGTTAGGTTTAGTAAGGAGACATTATTTTAAAGGCCTAGTTTGGTATATTATTAAAGAATAGAAAGAGAACTTAAAGAAAAATAAAGATTTTTGTTTTTAAAGGAGAGAGGCAAGTTATTAAAGAAAAGAGAGATTTTTGGTGAGGTTGAGTAAAGAGAGGTATTTTTAAAGGACTAGTTTGGTATGTTATTGTAAAGAGGCTAGCCGGGGCTCATCCCTCTCCGGGACAGCGGGGAGCCACACCAGCTCACTACACACTGTTGATGTTTATGGGGAATTAGTTCTGCCGCGGGAGTCTCTCTCGGCGGCCCTTGCGGCAACTGAAATAAGCACAATGAGCCCAGGCCCTGGGCAACAATGAGTCAGGCGCTCAGGCCCTCAGGCAGGGGCTGAGCAGTAGCAGTACAATAGTAGCAATAAGCCCAGGCCCCAAAGGGCCTGGAAGAGGGGGAGACTCTTTTGAGATAAATGTAACAGGTGTATTAAATGTAAGGGTAGGTTAAGAAAAATCAAGGACCAAAATGGACAACGTGTAGAATCAAGCACGTGGGTTTATTACACACATGAGTTGGGTGGCGGGGGGGGACGCAGCCCCTCCCACTGCACTGCATCCCAGTCCGGGGCCCTAGCAGCGGCAGAAGACCCGCTGCTGGGTCAGTGGGGATCCTGGCCACAACACACTGACATGGGCTCTGGCAGTGTTGCAGCCAGACTAGGGTCAGCTGCCCCCGGCCTATTTCCAGACTCCCCCTCGGGTGGTACCTGGGTCACAGTGGTGTCCTCCAGGGGCTCCGGCACCATGGGTTCCTCGGGGCAGGTAGGTGATTAGAGGCAGACCCAGCAACTCCTCCGGGTAGCTGGCGTGGGGCAGGCCTGGCAACTCCTCCAGGTAGCAGGCGTGGGGCAGGCCCAGCAACCCCTCTGGGTAGCGGGCGCGGGACAGGTCGGAGGCGTCTGGCCTCCCCAGCAGCTCTCTCCCTAGTGAGTTCTGAGGTCGAGCCTTTATACTTCGGGGGCGCCGCCTGACCCTCTGGGGGTGGGCTCAGAGCTCCCTAGCTCTGCCCACTCCGGTGTCCAGAAGGGCTTGTCCCTCTCCGGGGCGGCAGGGAGCCACACCGGCTCACTATAGTTATTAAAGAATAAAAAATTTTGAGATAAATGTAACAGGTGTATTAAATGTAAGGGTAGGTTAAGAAAAATCAAGGACCAAAATGGACAACGTGTAGAATCAAGCACGTGGGTTTATTACACACAGCGCTGGTGGAGTGTTACTTTGCTTATTAGGCTCAGAGACACTGCCAAACAATTGATTACAGTGGATTATATGGATTTTCCATGGGCGGAGGGAAATCCAAACACCTGGATAGGTCTAGCAGGAAGACAAGATAAGCACAGTAGCCAATAGTCAAAGATTACATAATGTCTCCGCCCATGGTTTTAGGTTAACTAGTAACATACAATTAGTACTTTAAACAATGTATAAAATGTATATGTTTAATTCTGATTTGGGATTTATAGGAATGAAGTAGCTCCATTGATTGTTTACAGGTACATACTTGGGGGTTAAAACAAAAAAACAGTGAAAAGTATATGGCAATAGAAATTTTTTTTAGTTGCTTATTTGTGTTTTTAAGGCAGGCACTGGTAGTGGCTTGGAGAAGGGGTGTACATTTGTGAGAGGGAGGATGTTATATCTCATACTGACATGTTTGAACCTCTTCCATAAACTCAACGTTGGTGTGTGGGAAGGTACCCCTTTCTACAGAAAAGGGCCCCTTTCATTCCTTTGGTCTGTTTGCAGCTTTTAGATAAAGCTACCAATTATGATTCTCCACCTGGCATTTTGCTGACCAAGCTTATCTTAGCAAAACCAAGGTTGTTTTTTGTTTGTTTTTCTTTCTTAGCTAATATTGTTCACTGTTTGCTAGGCCTCTGGCCTCTTAACCAAATTCTGGACTTTGGGCCTGTAAAAAGAGCTGACACAGTTTATATATCAGGTTGTTACTTAATAGCATATGGATTTTGGCCCTTCAAAAGAGTATCTAAAAAGAGGTAAATAAAAGAAACATATAAAGGAAACTGTTTAGTAAGCACATGGTAAAAATATAAAGGTTGATTAAGAAAGAAACATTTAAAATGTTAAATATAAGGGTAGGTTAAGAAAAGAGCATTTCAAAACATTAAATAATATTGAAAAATAGGTTTAAAAAGAACACACATTGCAAAAAAGGGCATTTACTAAAGCAGAAACTGTTTAGTAAGCAATGTTAAAAAGTATAAAGAGAGGTTAATAGAAAAGCATTTAAACTATTAAATACAAGGATAGGTTAAGTAAAGAGCATTTAAAAAGAGTTAAATAAGAGAAACATATAAAGATAGGTTAAAAGAGAGAACAGGAAAGGGAAAAGAAAGCCCCTTTGCAAAGGGCAAAAATAGTCAGCACGTGGTTGAGTCAGAGAGAGATCTTACCCTTCTAAGTGTTTCTGTGGAAAGAGACAACTTCCCAGGTTCACAGCCCCTCAGGCTTGTTATCACCGCCTTTGGGTCAGCCCAATCAGATGTTGTTCTACAGCAGTGTCATAGAATTCATTTTCCTGAACCAATCCTATAGTCCCAAAATTTGTAAACAAGAGCCATCTCCGCCCCCACTTTAACTGCCTTATTCTTATCTAAAAAAACAGACCTCAAGCACTTTTTCCACCATGTAGCCCCTTTTACATAGGGGCTTTAATAAAAGTTAAAACCATAAGCCCTTAGTAACAAACAATTTTTAAAAGTCTTCCCCTACGTTTTAAACTATTATTGGTTATTTTTTCGTGAGGACAATTTGAAGCTGCAGCAAAACCCCTGTCAGCAAAAACAGCATCCGTGAGTCAGTGGATCAGAGATAAGAAGGCTGCTTCATCCCCAAACTTTTTAACAAATGTAAGTAAAAGTTATATTAAGTCTTGTAAAGGGATAAACACCTTAAAAGACAAACGTATATAAAGACACATCCCTTTATTTACAGGTGTGTTTCAATAAAATAGAGCATGCAGAAACACCCCAGGTTTAAAACCACAGGACCTTACTAACAGCCAGTTTATATTACCCTTATTCTGTAAACCAATGGATCAGAGATAAGTTTGTTTCTTCCCCCACTTTTTAACAAACGCAAGTGAAAGTTATATTAAGTTTTGTAAAGGAATAAACACTTTAAAAGACAAGCCTCTCTGAAGACATATTTCTTTATTTAGCACTTTTACATATGTGTTTCAATAAAAAATTAGCATGCAGAAACATCCCAGGGTTAAAAACACAGAGAACCTGTTTATAAAAGTAATGTATAGTGATAAAAAAAGTTTTCCCCTATGTTTGACTAACATTGATCATTTTTAGTAAGAACAATTTGAATCAGCATGCTTTATCAACAAAGCCATTGTCAGCAAAAACAGCATCTGTGAGACAGCGGATCAAGGCCAGAACATAACAAGAAAGCCCTAGACCTGCTTTTAAAACAAAATTATACCAAATACTTGTTGAAATAAACATTTCCTTTTGTTATCTGAAGAAGACATTGCTTTGTAACTAATCTTATTAACAATGTAAAATAAAAAAACAAATTAACTCAGGGTTAAAACCACAGTCAGTTAGTTTATAAAAGTAATTTGTTAAAGTTTTTAACAAATAGAGGTGAAAGGCTTGTAAAGGAATAATCACTTGAAAAGACAAGCCTATATGAAGACAGAGCCCTTCATTTAACATTTTTACATGTGTGTTTCAATTAAAAAAAGAAAAAGCACGCAGAAAACACCCCAGAGTGAAAACCACAGAACCTTAGTAACAGCTAGTTTATATTCCCCTTATTCTGTAATCCCATGGATCAGAGAGAAGTTTGTTTTCCTCCCCACTTTTTAACAAATCCGTGCGAAAGTTATATTAAGCTTCCATTTTTTTAGGACTTTTAGATTTAAGTATGAATTTTTCTGTTGCATTATCAGAATATTTTTGTTTTTAAATGTTTGCAACGCGTGTGCTGAGACACAGGTACAAGCGCCTGTGTTTGTTTTGGGTCCAGAGATTTTATTAAAATAATACAGCACAGGCTGGAGCTGTGGCTTTCTCTACATTTAAAAAACAGATAAGACTAATTAGGCTGGCCAGTGATCCATGCACTATAGTCTGCCTTAGCAAGGCTCTAGGGGTCACCCCTCCAGTTTGCTTCTTTCCTAACTTTTTAAATACTGTTAAAGTTTTAACAAATGGTGAGATTGCATTGAAAGATACTTTGTGAATGTTATAACAAGTATTTTATTCCATTTACTGATTGTAAAAGACAAAAACCATCGCTTTGTGACCGAATGAAGCTTAGAGATAGCCTATGTGACGAACATCCCCACCCCTCAACTTTTCCCCCATAATTTTAACACTTGCTAAACATGCCGTGTTTCATTATATAAAGGGTTTTTTTTAACATTTAGCATGAAAATACAGCACTGACTGAGATGTAACATAACATGACCTTTTTAGGATATTCTGTATGCAGTGAGGCCTATTTGAAGCATTATGTTTGTTTTTTTAAAAGTTTAACATGAAAAAGCAGTATTGACTGAGCTGTAACAAAACAAGGCCCCTCTTAGGGATATTTTGTAGATGTTTAGTGAACTAAAAAGGCTTAAGATACTAGCCTATCCTTTTAAAAATAGTGTTTTTAAAGTACCAAAACAGCAACTGGGTAAGAATATGAAAACTGGCAATTGAGGGGAGTTTACATGTGTTTTAATAAAAAACAAAATTAACCAAAAAAATTGCTTTTTAAAGTTTGGATTTATACAAAAAACACAAGAAAAAATTAGCTTATGTAAAAAAAAGTTTGCTGTTTTTCACCAGAGATAAGGAGTCTTCCTCCCCCCCCTTCTACCCCCACTCCCCCACTTTTCTTCTTTTCTAATGTTTTTTAAAATCTAAACTGAGGACAAACAAATTTTAAAAAAAGCCACAGCCACAGAGATCAGGCCATGGGGGTAAGAAAGCTGTCCTGAGTTTTAGGGGGGAATGCTGATAACTCTTTTAGTGAAACTGTTTTGTAAGCAGCCATTCTGTGTTAGTTGTTATGCTTTAGCACGGGCAAGCGTTTGTCATTTGGAAGCACTTTCCTACTTTATGAGGTATTATCTCCCCCATCCTACGGCCTATCAGAAATATTAACAAAAACAAACTTAAAGATACTTTGTAACAATGCCTGCAAAGCAACAATTATGTCCATGAACTCTGACCCCACCTCCTAGCTAAGGCTTGGGAGTCACCTACTTGGAATTGACATGAGAAAGCTCTCGAAGAAGAAAAAATGGTTACCTACCTCTACCTGTTATTCGAGATGTGTTGCTCATGTCCATTCCCAGACCCACCCGCCTTCCCCTCATCAGAGTAATCTGGCAAGAAGGAACTGGAGAGGCAGCGAGTCGGCACGGTCCTATATGCAGTGCCATGAAGGCGCGATTCTAGGGGGTGCCTGAGCCGACCCGACAGGTACCACTAGGGAGAAAGCCTTCCGGCAACTGCGCATGCGGCGAGCGCACACGTACTTGGAATGGACATGAGCAACACATCTCAAAGAATAACAGTTACAAGCGGTAGGTGACCATTTTTTGTGATAGCACCCAAACACAGAAAGAGAGTCTCTCTGTACAGTCACACACAAAAAAGTGTACAAAGGCAGACCCAGGTTGAGGATACAGCTAGATCAGGCTGTACAAGCAAAGTGATGGGGATGGAGATAGATTAGTAATTGCATGTTTGCTGTTGAGGTTTTTTTATATTTAAGCTAATCACATGAAGTTCCCCTTCCTATTCTCCACCATTCAATACCTCCTCACATAATTTACATTTTAAAAAAAAAGAATAAATAAGCAGAAGGCTTAGTCATCTAGTTTCTTGTAAGTGTTGTGAAAGAAATAGGTCTTCAGGATAGATATGAGTTAATTATGTTTGGGTTAAAAGTAGTTGCTCTGTAAATTTTAAATTTGCTGGATTTGAATACTCACATGACTGGAGTACTGTCATGGATGGATATAAGCTGTTCAGGAAGGGCAGAAAAGGTGGGGGAGTTGCACTGTATGTAAGGGAGCAGTATGACTGCTCAGAGCTCAAGTATGAAACTGCAGAAAAACCTGAGAGTCCCTGGATTAAGTTTAGAAGTGTGAGCACCAAGGGTAATGTAGTGGTGGGAGTCTGTTATAGACCATTGGACCAGGGGGATGAGGTGGATGAGGCTTTCTTCCGGCAACTCGCAGAAGCTACTAGATCGCACGTCCTGGTTCTCATGGGAGACTTCAATCACCCTGATATCTGCTGGGAGAGCAATACAGCAGTGCACAGGCAATCCAGGAAGTTTTTGGAAAATGTAGGGGACAATTTCCTGGTGCAAGTGCTGGAGGAACCAACTAGGGACAGAGCTCTTCTTGACCTGCTGCTCACAAACTGGGAAGAATTAGTAGGGGAAGCAAAAGTGGATGGGAACCTGGGAGGCAGTGACCATGAAATGGTCGAGTTCAGGATCCTGACACAAGGAAGAAAGGAGAGCAGCAGAATATAGACCCTGGACTTCAGAAAAGCAGACTTTGACTCCCTCAGAGAACTGATGGGCAGGATCCCCTGGGAGAATAACATGAGGGGGAAAGGAGTCCAGGAGAGCTGGCTGTATTTTAAAGAATCCTTATTGAGGTTACAGGGACAAACCATCCCGATGTGTAGAAAGAATAGTAAATACAGCAAGCGACCAGCTCGGCTTAACAGTGAAATCCTTGCTGATCTTAAACACAAAAAAGAAGCTTACAAGAAGTGGAAGATTGGACAAATGACCAGGGATGAGTATAAAAATATTGCTCGGGCTTGCAGGAGTGAAATCAGGAAGGCCAAATCACACCTGGAGTTGCAGCTAGCAAGAGATGTTAAGAGTAACAAGAAGGGTTTCTTCAGGTATGTTAGCAACAAGAAGAAAGTCAAGGAAAGTGTGGGCCCCTTACTGAATGAGGGAGGCAACCTCGTGACAGAGGGTGTGGAAAAAGCTAATGTACTCAATGCTTTTTTTGCCTCTGTCTTAGAATCATAGAATATCAGGGTTGGAAGGGACCTCAGGAGGTCATCTAGTCCACCCCCTGCTCAAAGCAGGACCAATCCCCAACTAAATCATCCCAGCCAGGGCTTTGTGAAGCCTGACCTTAAAAACTTCTAGGGAAGGAGATTCCACCACCTCCCTAGGTAACGCATTCCAGTGTTTCACCACCCTCGTAGTGAAAAAGTTTTTCCTAATATCCAACCTAAATCTCCCCCACTGCAACTTGAGACCATTACTCCTTGTCCTGTCATCTTCTACCACTGAGAAAAGTCTAGAGCCATCCTCTTTGGAACCCCCTTTCAGGTAGTTGAAAGCAGCTATCAAATCCCCCCTCATTCTTCTCTCCTGAAGACTAAACATCCCCAGTTCCCTCAGCCTCTCCTCATAAGTCATGTGTTCTAGACCCCTAATCATTTTTGTTGCCCTTCGCTGGACTCTCTCCAATTTTTCCACATCCTTCTTGTAGTGTGGGGCCCAAAACTGGACACAGTACTCTAGATGAGGCCTCACCAATGTCGAATAGAGGGGAACGATCACGTCCCTCGATCTGCTGGCTATGCCCCTACTTACATATCCCAAAATGCCATTGGCCTTCTTGGGAACAAGGGCACACTGTTGACTTCTCGTCCACTGTCACCCCTAGGTCCTTTTCCGCAGAACTGCTGCCTAGCCATTCGGTCCCTAGTCTATAGCGGTGAATTGGATTCTTCCGTCCTAAGTGCAGGATCCTGCACTTATCCTTGTTGAACCTCATCAGATTTCTTTTGGCCCAATCCTCCAATTTGTCTAGGTCCCCCTGTATCCTATCCCTACCCTCCAGTGTATCTAC